ACTTCAAAGCAGTTACCTAACAATTCACAATTAATCATTAGTTATCCTATAAGGGATGGGGGAGAGCGACAGTCTCTAGGTCATTTGGTGGTCAACATGGAGTCTCTCTGGTTCCTTAAGTCTTAAACAGGAAGCTGAAAAGACGGTGTTTTCCTCCTTGCTCCATCTGTTGTTGTGGAGCAGTCTTCCGGGAGGGCGCCCGCCTGCCGCGTGATCTCAGGCAGGCAGTTAGGCAGCCAAAACAACCGCCTCCTGGGTCTTGTCCTCCTTGCTCGGTCTGTTGTTGTCACGCAGTCCAGGAAGCTGCACACCATAGAGGAAGGAAGGGAGAAGTATAGAGAAAAAAAGTAGTAACATATGATGCCTAAGAGGAATGTGTAATGGCTGGGAAAAGTGGGAAGGATTTCTGTCTCCCTAAATACAACTTTGTACATTGCAAATTTGGAGATATTAAATTTAATAAAAACTTAGCCAGCACTCCAAAGCCTGAAGCAGGAGAAATGCTGCAAGATAAATGCCAGCCTGGCTACATAGTTCAAGCCTAACATGTACTACTTAGCAAGATCTTGTCTCAAAAACAAATAATTAGTCATACTGCAGATTGTCCTAAATACTATCTTCCAACAGAAGCTAACCTTTTATTTTTTTTGAAGAATTTGAATTGAGCAGGACTTATAAAACAATAAACAAAGAAACAGGCATGCTAGACACACTTGTAATCTTAGCACTCTGGGAGACTGAGGCAGGAGGATCTCAAATTGGAGCCCATCCTCAGCAACTTAGGAAAACCTTGTCTCATAATAAAAATAAACAGGGTTAGGGGATCTAGCTCAGGGTAAAGGCACTCAGTTCAATACCCAGGAAGAACAACCAACCAACCAAACAAACAAACAAAAAAACAGACACAGAAATATTCTAATCCCACATAAGGCACATATTTTTCTTGAGGTTGGCTTTCTCCAGTTTGCTTGTGCTGGCTCAATTTTCTTTTATAAAATAACTATTCTCATCAAGAAATATTACAAAGTTGATAAATGCTCTGGTCAGATCTAAAATTAGCACCTAAACTTTCTAGACAAGAGAAATGATCTTTCCCATCTGAGAAGGGCCACACAACTTTTCACATAACCTACCGATTTCTGTACTTGCTCGATTTGCTTTTTGGCATCAGTCGGTTTCTCGTTCAGCTCAGCATAATCTTCTTCTTTTCTCCCAAGATCTGCTTTCAGATTTTGGGTGACAGCAGAGCTTTCAGAGAGTTCCTCCTTCAATCTAAAAAACATAAAACACTCTTCTACAGTGATACACCAAAAACCACTTAGGACTGGTGGCAATCTACAAAATTATTTTTTTCACAAATTTTGAATATGCAAACAGAATGAATGCTTTAGAAAGAGCTTCATGTGATTTTTTGTGTGTTTGTTTGTTTTGTTTTTTTGAGACAGGGTCTCACTATGTAGTGGAGACTGACCTGGAACTATGTAGCCTAGCCCAGGCTGGTCTCGAACTCACAGCAATCCTCCTGCCTCAGCCTCCCGAGTGCTGGGATTACAGGCATGCACCACCACACCCAGCCATGTGATTATTTTGAAAGGAGATCTTTGTGTGTAACATTAGTTTCTAAAGGTTTATATGAGCAAAGTTCAAGTTCTTCACTCAATATACACACATTTTAACAAGTTATACTAAACTAACTGCTTAAGGACTACATAGAAAAATGAATGGCATACATATTTTTAAAATATGGAGCTTACTTTTCTGTTTCTTGCCTGTTGGCTTCTTTTTCCTCTTCCTTTAATTGAAGTGAATGCTTCAGATCCTGTAAATTACTTGTTAACTGTGTGATTTCTTCTTTCAACTTAACTTCCTTTTCATTTAAATCTGTGGTGTTTTTGATAGAATCATTAAGATTTGCTTGAAATTCCTTCAGATTTTCTTCTGGCTTTAAGATGACGGATTCTTTTACCAAAATGTCTTGCTCTAACTTAGCTAAATGACTACACTCTTCTTTCTGAGTCTCTAGGGTTCTTTCACGTTCCTTTATTTTTGCCTTATAACAAATAGCATCTTGTGTCAGCTCTGAAAGTGCTTTCTTTCCTTCAACTACAAGCTGTCCTTGAACATTAAGATTAGCATTTTTCTCTTGCCGTTCTTCTTTCAGCTGCTGTATAAGATTTTCTCTTTCTTTTTGTAGGTCATCTTGATTCTCAAGCCCTCTGTGCTTTACTTTTAGTACACACTTTTCATCCCTATAACCTTTTATTTCCGCCTGTAATTTTTCAATTTGTTGTTGTAGTTCCTGGATCTTATGACTTTTTTTGGAGGAGGCCTTCACCATTTCTTTACATGCTTCCCAAATGGCTTCAATACTAGAGTAGAAAGAACTCTCCCTACTGAGTTCTTGAATATGATATTCTTTAACCTGCTTACTTGCCAAAAAATTATTACTTGAAAGGTTTAACTGTATGTCTGGCAAATTCTCTTCCTCTAGACCATTTGACTGAGTCTTGAGCTTGAGTAAATCTATGTTTGAGATCTGAGAAACTGAATCAAGTGAACGCAGTTCATCTATTTTTGTTTGTATTAATTTTATTTGTGAAAATTTGCTTGTGATGTTTCTTGTAGCAACTTCTATCTTCTCTGACAATTTCATGATCTTTTCTTCCGGTTCTTGTTTTATATTTTTCTGCACACTTACTTCAGCAATTATATGCTGTCACAATTTGCCTTCATTTGTTGGACCTTTCTACTTAAAGTTAAACTCTTTTCTTCAAGTATATTTTTCTGCACACTTACTTCAGCAATTATGCTGTCATAATTTGCCTGAATTTGTTGGACCTTTCTACTTAAAGTTAAACTCTTTTCTTCAGAACAGGAAAGTTGCTGTTGCAGTTCTTCAGAACAGGAAAGTTGCTGTTGCAAACAAACAATCTGTTCATCTGATTTGTCTTTCTCCTCCTTTGCCCTTTTAAGTTTACTCTCAATGAGAAGTACAGTTTGTCTTTCTCCTCCTTTTCCCTTTTAAGTTTACTCTCAATGATAAGTACAAGTGTTTTCAGCTCTCTATTCTTTTCTTGTAAAACTCTAATATCGTCCTCATCTTCTGAAATGGTCTTTTGTATTTCTTCACTTTTCTTTTGGTCTTTGGTGATAAATGAGTTAACAAATACAGATCCTTTGAAAAATAGGAAAATTGTTATTAATCCAGCAAACTTTGGTAAAATCAAAACATTACCTTATAAGCTAATATTCATACATGAAAATAAACCTACTGTAAAACCAAAATTAGCTATTGACAAAAAAAAAACAGGTTGCAAAATGTGTTATAAACCCAGTCATATAAAAACTAGTTTCACAAATTAGGAACAGAGCTAGCAAAAGGTACAGCAAATTGATGGTAGCTACCTGAGTAATACTTAGCTAGCATAGAAGAAATAAATATATAGGTAGAAGGAAGATAAGGGAAACCGTAACTTTAAAATTGTATTTTTAGGATGAAGTGCAGCTTCAAGACACAAAAGATACTAAGAAGCTTTTCCCTTGCAAGAAACTCACTCAAAAGACAAAACAAAAAAGATCAAGTAAGGACCAGTCTTACCTATCAGGTCCCAGTCGCGAAGAGGAGGGCTGCAGATGGCTATGCACCATTTCTTTCTTTGACTGCCAGAGAAAGTACATTTACTGTTGTCTCCACTATTGAAAAAGATGTCCCAGGTCCAGGACACTATAATGTTTCAGAAGCACAGTATAATATAAAAGGAGGCCATAGTCTACAAAACCGAGAGAAGCGTTTTAAGAAGTTTATTTCCGATAACCCAGGACCTGCAAGCTATGGACAGTCTTACTGTGGAACGCTAGATAACCTGAAGAGACGAATACTAGACTCTAAAGAGCACCTCAGAAAACAGCGGTATATCTCTGCCACAAACACATGTATATGGTCTGCATTCTAACACAGACCACCAAATGCCTAGTCTAACAGGCACTAAGAATACACTTCTAGGTCACCCACCCATCTTGAAGACACCAAATGAACATAAAGATCCCAGCCCCTAACTATAATGCACGTCTCTCTTGAAGGCCTATACTCCATTCTGTGTGTACTTTTTAAATTCCTCATTAAGCTTTTTTATGCCTCTCACTGACATGTCTTGAAAATTCTTCTTCTGTGGTGGAAATCAGTAAACCTACA